GGTCCGAAGACCCCAAAAGACCGGCGCTCCCCGCCCGAGGCTCCCCGTGCACAGGGGGCCCACCCTCCGGGAGCCAGCAGGCAGGAAGCTAGCCAGCCAGAAGGCTGGCGCTCCCCTCTTCTACATTTTTAAACTTTTATTAATTCTACACAGTTTCCAATGGGTTGAAGTGCTTCTGGGACCTCAGGGAGACAACTGGGGGTATGGTCAATGGAATCTTCTGAGTTTGGAGTTGTTGCGGAGCACATTTTAGAGAGCACATTCTAGAAGCATCTGGAAAAGACAGATACATTTTTCTGCACAGAATATTTCTCCCCCTGTTTACTTAGGAAACTAATCTGTTGGAGGTAAAAGGAAGAACATGAAATCAATCTGGAAAAGTTTGCTCTTTTTTTTTTTTTTTACAAAAAGAAACAAGTATCATAGATTAACTTTTGTTCCTAGGTCCTAATAATTATAACTCTTTCAGGTTACAGGAATAGCAGTTATTTCTATCTCGTAATTTTCAGCTGAGAGTGTGTATTTATGATTAGACCAGGGACCTCACGAGATGCAAAGTAGCATAAAACATAGGACTATTATATTTTACTCAGAAAACTTTCAAACCTTTAAAAATACTCCTCATGTGCTTTGAGGAATAGATTTCTTCCGTCATCTATAATTGGGTGACTAACGTTGAAAACTGGTTTAATTTTAACATCAAATGTGACATTCTCACTGCTAGCTCCTGGTTTGGCAGGAATGCCCCAGCCAGCAGACTCCTGGTCAGTGGAGTGGTGTAAAATATGAAAGGCAAATTAAAAGAGGTCATCAATGATTTTATGAACATTAAGCCTGTGGAAAAAAAATACACATATAGTTGATTTTTATTCCTAACTTCCTCCATACAAACCAGAAGGACAGGGTTCAAGGAGCTGGATAGCTGAACATATGGATGGCCCTAGGGAGGTGGTCCTCCTGGGAAGGGATGGAAACTCCAAATCCCTTCCCCTACATTTGCTATTCATTTCATCTGTATCCTTTGTCATATCCTTTATAGCAAACTGGCAAGCATAGATGTTTCTTCGAGATCTGTAAGCCGCTAAAACAAATTAATTAAATCCAAGGATGGGCTTATGGGAGCCCCAATTTATAGCTGGCAGTTCAGGAGCAAAGGTAGAGCAAACTAGGGATTGCAACTGGCATCTGAAGGTGAGGAGCAGCACTCTTGGGGACAAACCTTCGGCCTGTGGGATCTGACACCATCACCAGATAGATAGGGTCCCACTGAACTTCATTAGAGGGTACTCAGCTGGTGTCTGCTACAGAATTGCCTGCTTGCATGGTGATTGATCAATCAGCCAGTTGATTCTTCTGGGGTCTAAAGAGATCTGTGTTGTGAGAGTGCCAGAGAAAGTGGACTTGAGTTTATTTTTCTTCTGTATTCTTCAGAAAATTATACTAGAAATTTCTCGTTATGCGAAAAAAAATTAGGTATAGTAAATATAAAAGAATTTGAATTTAGTCTAATTGTCAAGTGATTAAAGAAGATTCAGGGGAAAAGTCATGTAAGGTATGAATCAGATAAATAAAATCACAGAAGTGTAGATTTTATTCATTCGCTGGGTCCCGTGCTTCTCTAAATTTACAAATGAAGGTTGACGTCCCTAATATCCGTGGATCCCATGCCAAGTTCTACATGGCATGTTAATATCACACATCTGGGTAGTATTTTAAAACAACTCTCAGTTAGAGAGTTTTCCGCATTCTGTGTATGAAGGGAATGACACATGCCAAGCACATACTCTACCGCTGAGCTGTAACTCTGGCCTCAGTGAAAAGCTTTGGTTTGCCATTCACTTGGTTTTACTACAATTACGACTGTGGTTCCATTAGTTGATGTTAAACTGTGGCCTTTCTGCCTTCAAAATATTCTTTTTTTTTCCTATAAAATTACCGACACACTTGTTTCTAGACATTCCATCTGAAACACACACTAATCTATAAAATGTTAAAGTCCAAGTCTGGGCCGCTAAGGCTGAACTTGAAGTTGGTGCACGTCTCACTACACACTAGATGTAGACTGGCTAACATTTTGTAAGAATAAAATGTGAAGAGTACATGTGATTGCTTGTGACTTATTGATTTTTTATTTACACTCCATTTTATTGCTGCCAATAAGCAATAATTAAGCTAAGAGCTTAATAAAGACATCAGCTTATTGACGTTTATATATCTCTGGCAAATTAGTAAGAATTTGGCAAACTCCACTTGAGACCAAATATATGTGCAACCCCTGAAGAAATATCGAATCTAATAGCTTTTACATTTTGTGTTTTAATCTCATGGGGGGGTTGTCTTGATTTCTCTGATGCTTATTATTAGTTTTTCCTGATTTTTAAAAAACTGAATTATATTCCTATTGTATTTGAAGTTCATCTTCAATAAGTTTGCAAGATGATGTTTATGTTTTACTATGCCTTTGTCCGCAGACAGATCAAAGTTTTTGTTTGTGTGGTCCTTAGAGAGTTAAAATTTGATGTTGATAGATAAGTATACTCTCATTCCATAGTTTTATGGTATGAAATTATAGTGACACTGTGTTCTTTCTAAACACAGTTTCCTGTGACTGGATCTTATAAAATGATGTGATCAGCATTATGTAATCTATTGGTTTTTTTTTGGTACTGGGAATCAAACTCATGACTTTGCGCTTGCCAGGCAGGCGCTGTGCCATTGAGCTAAATCCCCAGCCAGCATTATGTTTTGTTTTTTTTTTTCTTTCTGGTACCAGGAATCGAACTCACGACCTTGTTCTTGCCAGGCAGGCGCTTTTGCCACTGAGCTAAAGCCCCAGCCCCAAGCATTATGTAATCTATAAGCAGCAAGTAATGCAGGGTTGAGACTCAACTGTGTACAAATTTCAGTAAGAAAAAGAAGACTAACATTCTTTTCATATATAAAACTTCTTACTGTGGAAGGTGGTAGGAGTTATAAACAGAGCTAACTTCACTTTTAGACTGGTACTCAGTCAAGATGCTTCTAAAGGGTATAATTCTCTTTTCACTGAAGTTGGAAATCATTATAAAAAATCATTGCACTTCTTTTTAGTCCAGTTTTAGTACTCACTTAATTACACTCTCAATATGACTTTTTAAAAAATGCAAGTTCTTCTGAGGAGAATATATAGGAAGTTCACTTATTTACATATTTACTGAACATTTACTGTAGACCTACTAGATCGCTCCGTGCTAAGTTCTAGGAATTTAAGAATGAATTAAGGGATGCTGGGGATCTAGCTCAGTGGCACAGTGCCTGCCTGGCAAGCGCAAGGTCATGAGTTCAATTCCTGGTACTGGAAAAAAAAAAAATGAATTAAGGAACATTTCCTTTTGTGGAGTACTTTCCATGCTACACTCAAATATGCAAATAAGTAGCTATAATATTAAATAATTATTTCTATACGGACATATAAGTAACTTTCAGTGGAAACAAAATAGGAATCCTTTCGTCTGTCTGGGAAGCATTTTAGCTGATGCCTGAAGGGTGAGAAGAATTTTCCAAATGTAAAAGCAAAGAAGGACCATCATGTACAAAGGAAGAATGTGTGAGAACTTAGTGCATTCTTTTTTAAGAAGTAATTTTATTCTAGATAGGAGCTGGATTGGGTGATATAGCTTACAAATACAGTCCCGTGAAGCTCACTTCTTCCTGGATTACATTTACCTCCTAATCTGCAGCATCCTTTTTCAAATGCAGAGTCTGCCCCTGAAAAATTATCTCTCAGATGAACACAGAATGGATATGTCTGGAGATTGACTGACTCTTAAGGACTAAGGTAGGTACATAGATAGATTCCCCAAAAACCACCAGGAAAGTCATGCTCCCACGGGAGAGTGTGAGTTGGGGGATAGGCAGATTGAAAGAAAACATGTATGTTACTATGGCAGAAATCTAGGCCGAGTGAAAAGATGTAGGTGATGATGAACCTTAAAAAAATTTGAGGGTGTGGTTTCTATTTTCATTATGGTAAAAGAAAACATTCATAGGGGCTGGGGATTTAGCTCAGCGGCACAGCGCCTGCCTGGCAAGCACAAGGTCGTGAGTTCAATTCCCGGTACCGGGAAAAAAAAACAAAAAGAAAAGGAAACATTCATGGTGACATGTGAGGAGGAGATGAAGCAAGCTGGGAAGCTGAGCTCTTTTAGGAGTGTGTAGCATCTTCAGAAAGAGATGATTTGAATGGGTTCACAGCTTGTAGAGCTGTTTAAGAGGTAAAATTGGTAAGATAAGAAAAAGGAAAAAAATCTAGAAAGACTCTTAAATTTCTGGCTTGAGAAACTGATTGGCATTTACTGTGACAGGTCATATCAAAGTAGATCAGGAGAGTTTATAGACCATGAAATGAAGAAGCCCCTACCTATGTACCCCGTGGGCCAGAATACCGGGTACGGTGGTGAACATAGGGAGTGGTGGTGAGCACAATGTTCCCTTCTGGCCCACGCGGCTCTATTCTTCTATCTTTCATGTAATACAGTCAGACAAGTTAAACTTGAAGTGACTCTCAGTTTAACAAGACAGTCTTATTGTTTCACCCAGTCGGTGTCTTAGCAGAGTGTGAACTAGAGGCAAAATTTTAACTGCAGACATTAAGAGACGACTAATCTTCACCAAAAAGTTTCAGTTGTAAACAACCCAATTAAGACCCCAAATAAATACTTAGAAATTTCCTAGGTGTTGATAGCACCAATTCATTGTTTTAAGCTTAGTCGATTGTCTAAGACCATAATTCTAATGTAATTTTAAATGTATTCTCAATGTCAGTAATGTATTCCCTGCAAGTAGGTGTTCGATATTTATTCTTGGTCAGCAAAAAAACAAAAACAGAAAAACCCTTAGACACTGCTGTGGTGGTCCTCCATACACAGTCTTACCTGACAAAAACTTTATTCTGTAGTATTTAATTTCTCTGGTTAGAAATTCAGTTAAATTAAGAATTTCTCATTAGCCAATAATGAAAAAAAAAAAAAAAAAAAAAAAACACCCTGAGAAACACTATTCTAAGGACATTAAAAATAATTTGTAGAAGAAATTAAATTTAGATATTTTTCCCTGCAGTGTCTGAAATACATTGGCTTGGCTTGTTTTTGTTGCGTTTTGTTGTTTATTTTTTTCCAGAGTCCTTTTGATGCAAAAGACAGAACGAAATTTGTAATCTAAATCTAATCTGCAGTGTTTTTACATCTAGTCAATGTAGGGTTTTCAGAAAATATGGGCATCTAGCTGTGTAATGCTTCAACTTGAAGGCTTATTTTAGACCTTGACTTTTTCCCCATCTGATAACTAAAAGGATCTGATTTCTCTGTGTTTTAGTTGACGTGCTAAGTAAGTAAAGATGCACAAAGATCTAATTATTGGCACTATGAATACCTATGCTGCAGATTTAGGAAGTGAATCTTTTATGTGATTGCATATGTATCAACCGTGTTTTTCAAAAATGACTGTATGAAAACAGAAATTGCTTCTATATCTTGCAAGTGCAAAGGAGATCCAAGGGAAGGCTGCAGGGCCAACCCGAGCAGGCTCCAAGCAGGATGAGGCACAGCCAAGACCCCGCCGTTGGCTGCGGCTGTGCGATACTCCAGTGCAGGTACTGTGGGTCACCCGCTGGCGCCGCCCCGGCTCCCGCTGGCAGCACCACCTCGCTTGGGTGCCTCCAAGAGGCTGCACTCCAGCGCCACTGCAGCTGCCGCGGGGAGTCTCTGACCCTGAATCTTGGTTCCTCCATTAACGTTCAAAGTCCAGACAGGAGCCTCTGCCTGGCTCTGCTCTACCTGCCGCGGATCATGGGATATTTCCTCTTCCTTAGCTTCCACAGTGCGGTACAGGGCCTTCTCCCCACCCACCTTGCAATTTCCCCTAAATCGAACGCAAGGTTATACACTGAGAAGCCAAAAAAACACTCAATATCCAGTAGGGCATCACTAACTGACATCTGAGGGATTCTTGTCAGTTTACAAAGGCTTTGACACGTTTTCATCCAATTCTTAGTACAACATAGAAAGTACTTCCATCTTTGAGATAAACAACTATAGCTCCAAGAGGTTAACTGCCTAACTCAAAGTTGCAATCCCAGCAGGAAAATTAAAACTTTTGCATGCCTGTCATCTGTGAAATACAGACCTCAGTGTTTTCACATGCAATTTCTTATCTGAGTCTCACAAAACTTTGTGACAGAGCATAATTAGTCCCATTACTCCCCGGAGGAATAGAGGCCCTGGCCAGTGACGGAACAGGGACTTGTTCAAGGCTCTGACTCCAAATCCTATTCTCACTTCACGGCCCAGGGAGGCTGCTTGGCTGAGTTCTTCCCCTCCACCCCCCAACACTTTCTGTCTCCTGTTCATACCAGCTACTCTCACACCCCTCTCGTGTCAGAAATGTTTGTTAGATGAATACATCTCCAACACTTTCCCTAAGGCACTAGCCATGGGAGGATATTCTGTAAAGTTGTTTTCTGACAGTTTTCCTCTAGAGGGCTGGTCAATATGAAGATGCAAAATGGAAACAGATTTGTTTTCTGGGGGCGATTTCTTTACTCTGGACATATTTCATATCAACTATGTCACACAAATGTAAACAGTACCAAATGCTGAGAATGCTAACAAGGAGACATATCTGCGTGGTGTGCATGCCATGTGATTTGTTGTTCACGATCACAGTTCAGTGAGCTCTTCAGTGTTCATGATACAGGAGCCCTGCTTTCTCGTGTAAGCGGCTTCCGTTTCGGGAGCACATCTGGAGATGCTGCGCTGGGACGGGGTAAGGGCTCACGGGCAGTCACCTCTTCTTGATTGTGGCAAACACCTGAGGGTTTTCAGGATATGGCTCCCAGCAGAGTCAAGCCGTGCCTTAGGCATAGAGCTTAACTTTGCTCCCAGATACCGTTCTTGCTGATTCTGTACTTCCAGACGTTGGTCCAGGGCTCGAAGACTTCCCTGTGCTTCTTTGCCTTGGCTTCTCTTTCTGGACTCCATCTTGCTTGCTGTGAGGATTGCTGACTACTTCGTTTTCCCCGCCTATGTTATGTTTCTTACTCTGTCCTAGAAGAACTCAGTTCTTTCTAGGATTTTGAGTTAAAGGAGACTGACCAGCTGGATATCTACTTACAGTTGTGGAAAAGATTTGCTTAGACAAAGCCCGAGCAGTAATGCAATGCTGTTTCTTTCTATTTCTCCAGCACTTAGGTCATACCCATATTTGATAGCTCCGTGGTTCCTTTATTAAGCAGTTGGATAAAGAGCAGCTGAAGGTAGCTCAGAAAGGTCCTTAACCTTTGTATTGTAAACTAACTTGAAGAAGAGCCAGTAGGCCTGACCAGGGGGAGAGTGTGGGGTGGGCCTAGTGGATGAGTGTGGACCTATTGTTGCCTGATGCAAATATTCATGAGGAGTATCCATTTTCTTTTGTTTTTCTGACAGCACAGAGACGTTAACCGGCATTCAGATTTGTGGTTCGCTGGTTTCCTGAGAGCGGATCCTGGTGCACAGAAAGGCTTCTTCTCACTGCCATCCTTCAGCAGGGCTTTTGCTTTGGCTCAAAGAAACTGCTTACAGAGAAAGGGAGAGGTCTGAGCTCTGGGGAACTGAGTTTGGTCATAGAAGCATCCTTCGGGGCACAAAACCTGGAGTCTTTCTCAATGCTTCTGGTGAAACTACAGCTCTAAAAGAATTTGGGACGCGCACCCCCAATCACTTACTTATTCATTTCAGCATTTCTAGATTTGCTCACATGTTAGATTTTTAGTAAATAAGATCGAGAACTTCTCATGGTCTAGCTGAGCCAGACTCTTAAACTGATAAGTCACAGCAGAATGTGGTAAGAGCTCTACAGCTCCACAGGATATGGTAACCAATGGGGAGAGGATATTTTGCACAAGATTTTAAAATACCAGACTTCACTTTGGTCTCTGCGGTGAAGTTTCTCTTTCAGAGTTGGTCAGGCATTTCTACCCTGGCAACACAACAGACCTCCAACTATTCTTGGTACAAGTGAAGCCTGGGGTGTGGGCACGGGTTGGAACTCGGACCTTGGAGAAGATTCCAGGAGGAAGTCTGGATGCAAATGGGGCCTCAGTGTAAAAATGGGTTTTTATAGTCAAGAAAGTCTTATAAATAATTTTATTTTTCTAAGAATCAGAATAAATTGGGATTTAGGATTTACAGATATAAATGTTATTTACACACACACACGTTCACACCACAAATGTGTGTGTGTGTTTATCTCTCTCTATATGTAGATATAGAGATGCATACATACATTTTTTTCACAAAATTACTATTCTTTTTCACAGCGTTACTAAATAAGCAAATACTGGTTATCTTATTTTTTTAAATCCCTCTCTCTCTCGTTTTCTACATATATATAGTTGTTTTTTTTTTAAATTTTTCTTTTTTTGGTGCTAGGAATCAAACTCAGGACTCTGCACTTGCCAGGTAGGCACTTGTGCCCCTGAGCTAGATCCCCAGCCCTGTGCCCCCCAAAATCTATATTTGGGATCTTAATTTGTACAATTTAAAAAAAATTCAGAGCTTTGTCATATGAGCTAGAACATATTGCAAACACAGCATGACCAACCAGTAAGAAATCTCCTAAAAGTCCACGTTTTCGAGTATTTTTTTTTTTAAATACCAGAGATTGAAACTAGGGCCTTTGCAGTGAATTACATCCCCAGCCTGTTTAAATTTTGAGACAGGATTTTGCTAAGTCACCAAATTACCCAGGCTGGGCTTGAACTTGTGATCCTCCTGTTTCAACCATGCAGAGTGCTGGGGTAACAGGCATGTACCGCTACACCCAACACAATATTTTTTTATAATTCAAAAAGAATATATTCTTTTCCCACATACTCATAACTTTAAATTTGCGGTTTTGAGTGTTTACTTAATACTTTAGTGATACATAAGTGCTAAAAAGTAGTGATTTTTAAAAAACTAGAATTGAGCATCAGAATTACTTGGATTCTTTCCAGATCCACCAAATTAGATCTCTAGGGGGCAGGGGCAGATATAGTACCTTTATTTAAATTTGTAGGTAATATGTCTTTATATAAACTACCATTGCTGATAGAGGTCAGATGTTGTAAGCTTCATAAAGACAAGAGCTCTGTCTATCTTCTTCATTTTATCCCCAGCACCTGACTAATAACAGATACTCAATCTGTAGAGTTAGTGGATGGTTCACTGTTTCAGATTCCCTTAACATTTTTTCATTTATGAAATGCAGAACCCAAAACTAACAATAAACTCTTATCCTGGCACCAGACAAGGAGTGTCTGGTATAAGCCTTTGCTACTTGGCTGGACCTTGTTGAAATGTGGGCTTTGGACTTTGTTGTTTACACCTTTGAGGCTGCTGGAGTGAATACACAAGTTACCTGTGAATATTCCTGCACTCACTCTCCGTGGAGTCTCCCTTTGAACTAGCGGGGATTTTCTGTCTCCTGTTCCCTGCTCCAGTGCATTTTGTTTTTCACTAGAGCTGTAGGAGCTACAGGTCTCAACTGTATCTCCTTGCGTTATTCCCCACAGCTGCAGAAAGGACTTTCTTCCTCTTCCTGCGTAGCAGGAAGCCACGCTTTTGTCATATCCTGTGTCTTACTACTCTGTGGCTTATGAGAAAACCTCTGCCGTTTTCTTTCAGGATTGGTCCTCAGACAGCTAAAAATGTCCTGCCCTTAAAATAAAAAATCAGAACTTTCGTGGCTATTTTCTCCCCTCTGAAATATTTTGATGTGTAGCTTTGAAAATCAAAGTAGAAAATGTTGGGGGCTGGGGATTTAGCTCAGCGGCACAGCGCCTGCCTGGCAAGCGCAAGGTCATGAGTTCGATTCCCAGTACTGGAAAAAAACAAACAACAACAACAACAATAAAAAACAAAGTAGAAAATGTTCTGTTCTAGATCATAGCTACTCAAAAAGTGGTAAGCTCTGAGCTATAGCATCCCCAACTATTCTGGTTGGTTTCTGCTCTATTCCTGAAGTAATTTACTGGGAATTAAAAATGCATCAGAAAATTACTATGTATCTCAACTTCCAAGTCAGCATCTTACTTCATGGGGAAATATCTACCAAAGTCAGACCAAAGATGGCCAATGTCACAGCCAGTAGTGGCACTGTCTAAAACCACTTTTTTTTTTTGAGACAGGGTCTCATTATGCAGTTCAGGGAGGCCTTGAACTCATGGTGGAGCCCGGGCTGGCTTTGTAAAACCACTTTGAAATTGTCATGTAGCGCCACTGCCAAAGGCATACAAGTTAGAAAAGAAGAGGTAAAATTTTCTGCATTTACAGGTTATGTTATATCTGGAGAAATTTTAAAAACTCATTGAAAACTACCAAAATACTTAAAGAGAATTTATTAGAGTAGCAGGGTTTAAAGTTAATATATACAAAGCAATAGCTTTCACATATAAAAAGAATAGCTGGCTGGAAGACATAAAGACCTCTTTTATAATTGCAACAAAAGTACCTAGGCATAAATCTACTTAATACAAAATGACCAAAATATACTTGAATAAAATCTTCCTCAAAGAGACAAAAGTAGACATGAACTAAGTGTAACGAGTATGTCATACTAAATTTGGATAGAAAAGACGCATTATTATGAAGTATCTTTTTTTTTTTTTGAGATGTGGTCTTGCTATGTTGCCTGAAATGGCCTTGACTCACAATCCTCCTGCTTCAGCCTCTCAAGTAGCTACAATTACAGATGTGCTTCACCACGCTTGGCTACAAAGCATCTATTCTGACAACACACTTATTATTAGTTTTTCTTTCCCTTTCTTTCTTTCTTTCTTTCTTTCTTTCTTTCTTTCTTTCTTTCTTTCTTTCTTTCTTTCCTTCCTTCCTTCCTTCCTTCCTTCCTTCCTTCCTTCCTTCTTTCTTTCTTTCTTTCTTTCTTTCTTTCTTTCTTTCTTTCTTTCTTTCTTTTTCTTTCTTTCCTTCTTTCTTTCTTTCTTTCTTTCTTTCTTTCTTTCTTTCTTTCTTTCTTTCTTTCTTCTTTCTTCTTTCTTCTTTCTTCTTTCTTTCTTTCTTTTTCCTTTTTTTTGTGTTTTTTGAGACAGGGTGGCCTTGAACTCACTTTGTAGCCTAGGCTGGTTTCAGACCTGCAATGATCCTCCTGCCTCAGCTGCCCAAGTGCTGGGATTACAGGTGTGTGCCACCACACCCAGCTAGTTCTTATTTCTTGAAGCTTAACAAATTGATTATACATTTTATTTGGAAAAATAACTACACAGAAATAGCCTGAAAAATACTAAAAAAGAAAATAATAAAGGATAACCCAATATTAAACCAGATGTTAAAACATCTTACCAAAAAATCTATAATTAGAAGAAAATTGTATTGGCAAGTGAATAAATGGACAATTAATTGAATGTAACAGAAAATCTAGAAATAAACCTAACTGCATATGAAAATTTAGACCTTGATAAAAGCAGCATCTAAAATGAATGGAAAAATACAGTCTTTTTAGTATGCAATACTGGGACAACTAAATAGCCAAAAGGGAAAATGGAGTCTTCCTGTGTGTCACACACCAGCATAAACCCTAAATGGGTGAGAACTGAAACTGTATGCACACTAGAAGAAAATGTACGAATTTCTTTATAAAACGTTCAGTGACCAGTTCCCAAACTCAGGGAACAGCTGGATTACTTTGGCTGTGTTTCTTAAAGCTGTGCATGAGGGCAGGGAATATAGCTCAGTGGCATAAGCACCTGCCTGGCAAGCACAAGGTCCTGAGTTCAATCCCCAGTACTGCAAGAAAAACAGAACAAGACAAAACAAAACTCTGCCTGGCAAACACAAAAGAAAACCCTAAAGACAACATAAAAATACAAGCGCTAGTTGGAAAATAAATATTTACAACTCCTCTCATAAACAAAGGAATATTCCTAATATCTAAAGAACTTCCATGGAAAAGAAAAGCAATATTTTTTTAAAACAGGGCATACATAAGCATATACAATATATATTTGTTCTACCAAAAATGTATACACACTTAGGGAAAATAAAGCTTGCATGAATATTTTAATACTAAATTTACTGAGACATCATGAAATTAATACAAGTTACCTTTGGCCTGCACAATTACAAGAGTGACGGCTCAAAGTGGTGGCCGTGAGCTTCCAGACATTTATTACTATGGTGAGCTGCTGCTTCAGTAACCTTGATCCCTGAGATTTCTGTACATATGTTTTCAGTCTCTTCTCTAAGGGTCAGCAGGGTAGTGGGTTTTCTGTGATGAATGACATCCTCTAGGGTCCCCCATATGAGGGTAACACCATCTTTTGAAAAAGAATTATACTATTTTTCTTTTCCTGAAGTGTATATACATTTTTTTGGCAGAATATATATGGGAGACAGACAGACAGACACAGAGATACACAGAGAGACAGAGACAGAGAGACACGGAGAAAGAGAGATCACAGGACAAAATTAAATGGCGCTTAAAGATACAAAAAGATGCTCAAATTCGCTCACTATTAGAGAGATAAAAACTAAACCTACATTAAAATACCATCTCGCTCCAATCTGATTGGCAGAACCCCAGGAGTTTCACAATTGGATTCTGCTGGCAAGGTTGTGGAGAAATTGGCAGTCCCTCACTTTGCAGATGGAAGTACAACCCCGGAGGAGGGCATCTGTCCATCTTTATTAATATTTCATAAGCACTTACGTTCTGAACCACCAATTCCATACCCAGGACTGATTCCAAACATTCACTGGGGAAAATACAGAAATATATAGAATGACAATGTACAGTAGCACTGTTTCTCACAGCCAAGGAGAAAACAACTCAAATGCCCAACTCTAAGAGATACATTAATGTTATCATTCCCAAAATGTGAGAATCTGAATCAAACCCTTAGATGGACAGCTACCAGAATACAATAGCTACCAGGAGCTAGAAAGCATTAAACAACACCGCAAGGAAGCAACTGGCCAAGCCATAAATGTCTAACAGGCATCTCAAACACAACACGCCCCTGACCTGACCTTCCGAGCTTACTCCTTATTCGGGATTCACTGTCTCAGTGCATAGACCTTTATCGCCTGGTTGCTTAGACCAGACTCTGGAAGCATGCATGACTTCCTTCAGACCTCACAATAAATTCATCAGCAAATTTCTCTTGCTCTCCATTCGAAGCCATTTCACAAGATTTTTGTTGGTGTCTCCCTGGCCAAACCATTATCATCTCTCACTTGGACAACTTTAATAGTTCCTACTTTTCTCTTAGCTTGCATCTTTCCCTTACCCTATTGTCTTGGTTACTTTTCTCTACTTGCTGAGACAAAATACCTGATGCCCAGAATTAAGGAAGGAAAGGTT